GTTCCAGATTGAGCCGCTGCCCGCTGGACACCCCCTTTGGAGTATGCCGGGAGTGCTGATCACGCCCCACGTGGCGGGTAACGGCCCCTATCTCGATGACCGACGTACTGACCTCTTCATCGACAACTGCAAACGATTCAACGAAGGAAGGGAACTACGAAACGTCGTGGACAAAGCCAACTGGTTCTGACATCGAAACTGCGACAGCTTGGTCAAATATGTCTGGCTCCCGAGCGATGGGGGTTGGGGCAGCCCCCTCAGCCTGGCCTGCTGTATCGCCTTCATTGGGCCCTTTGGGTTGGGTGTCAGCGTATGCCCCAATGTGTTGAAGGCGCGGCCGGACGGGTTTCTTTCGGCGATGGTCTTGACCGTGGTCTAATCCATGTGCATTGGCTCGGGTGCGGCCAGACGCTGCCTCCGAGACCCGCTGATGTGATGATCGACCACGTTTGCGACGATACGCTTAGGATCGGTGCCGGGGGACCAGAGGATGACCGGGGCCCACGATGTGCCTATGCACGGCGGTGGTTCCCGCGTGGACGTCGTGTGGCCTGATACTTACCTCAGCCATTACGTTTGCCTCGCGTGCGCCGGCGATCCTCGCCGAGGCTCCCACTCCCAGAGCGCTTGGCGTGGGGCTGCGCATCATCTTATGCCCCGCGCCGTTCCGAGGGCGACTTAATTTGGAAGCTCCCTTTGGAAGCTCGCATCAAGATATCGTCGGCATTTGCCGACGGGCGTTATTACGTCAGGGCCAGCGACCGCGAACTCATTGCATACGACACAAAGCGCCGCTACTGGTTGATATGCGCGCGTCACTCGCCCGCGTTCAGTGCTGGCGCTTTGCGTCAGGCGTGGCGGCTGTTCCCAGCACATTATTCAGGACTTATTTGCGTAGCATCTCCACAGCGCCAAGGCGATGTGTTCCACCACTTTGGGCGGAAATCGCGTTGTCTCCGAGCGTAAGAAGCGGGAGACTCACCCGAGATTGTCCCTTCTGACCTGTTATGCGGACTAATCGCCCGCCCGGTTTCAACGGCTAGTTGTCGCGGGTTGATGCGCCCGAAGGAAGTCCCGCACCTGGTTTATCGTCTGGGCTTTCACGTCTGCTGACTCTTTCCAGGGATACGCCGTCACTTCCGCTTTGGGCGCGAGCGCCACCAGGTCCACAGCTGCTTCGTAGGAGTGCGATGGTGTGTCGTCAGGCATGACCAGCATCGGCGTCTGGCAGGAGCGCGCGAAGTCCCGCGACACGCAGTACACGAAATCCGGCTGGACTCGGTAGAGGTTGTGCAGGTACTGGTCGACGATCTCCATGGTCAGGTCGGTCCGGCCTGCGCATAGCTCGGGACCCCAGACATCATGCCCCGAGTCATACATGGAATCGGGTGTTCGGCTGGCGTGCCCAACCGGCTGGCAGAGCACGGCGGCCAGCACGCGCTCAGGCGCCCGTTCTATGAGCTTCAGCGCAAAAGGGCCACCGATACAGTAGCCTATGAAGAAGAACTCCTGTATGCCGAGGTGGTCCATCAGCCCTAGTTGGTCGTCTGCGAAGGCGCCCCACGGGTCATTAACTTGAACCGGCCCGGTGGATTCTCCGCCGATGGCGTTGCGCTGGTCCATCGTAATGCAGCGGAAGTCGTTCTTGAACTCCTCCATTGCGTTGAATACCTGCCCAGGCCAATTGCTGACCAGCGAATTCAAGCCCCCGCCGGGCGTGGCCAGAAGCGGGAAACCGGACCCGACTTCCTCGTAATGGATGCGGACATCGCCTTTGCTATAAAACGGCATTGCAGTTTCTCCTTCTTGATCTCGGCACCGGGATTATGATGCGATTGTAACGTGGGAGACCGGGTTGTCAAGGTAGTGTACTCGGTCACGCGTAACCATTTTAATCTGTGATTGCGAGCGTCCTTCGACAGGCTCAGGACGAGCGGGAATCTCGATGGGGTTGAACACACGTCGGCGAACCACCTTTGCTACGGCGACGGGATTGCCACGCTACGCGCGATGACAAATTTTTATGCGGCGCGTCGGAACGTATCGTCAGCAAGCACGGAAAGGAGATGGGTTCGGTACCCGCCGCCACCGACCTAATGCCAAGTGGCGTTGGTTCGTAATGTCATCAGGTCGCCGATTGGTCTCACAGCCCCTGGTACGGAGGGATTTTGCGTTTTGCTTCCTGATGCCTGCTGGGACAGTGTATGATGCGGGGCGATTCACGGTGTGGAAATCCAGATATCGGCAACCGACCTAGAACCCGGCGGAGACCAGACACATGGCTGAGAATGGCATACCGTTGGCGCTGGAATTGAATCGTGTGCCTTCGTCAATCGTTCCCCTTGAGCGCTCCCGAAGAAACTCGCTTCCAGGGCATTATGGAAGACGCGATCATGGTGGACGTGCACCAGCACCCCTTTGTCATGCCCGAGTCTATGCACCAGTTCATCGACTACCTGCGCACCAACCGCTACCAGTGGGGTTACCAGGCGGTGGCTGCCGGCGGTTGGACTACCGTTACTACTGCCAATGTGTTCAGCGGCCTGAAAAGCACTCCTGATATGTCATTCGTAGAGTACGAAGACCTGGTTGCCGAGGTGGGCGGTATGCTCGCCGACGTTGCGTCGCAGGCCAATGTGGTCAGGATCGGCAACGCCAACGATATTACCGCCGCCAAACAGCAGGGAAAAGTCGGGTTCATGCCGACCCTCGAGCATCTGGCCATCGGGAATCGCATCGAGCGGGTGGATTCGCTGTTCGGCATGGGTGTTCGTTTGGCCGGCATGACCTACAACCGCAAGAACTTCATCGGCGACGGCATGAACGAACGCAATCCCGGTGGGTTGAGCAATTTCGGTATCGAAGTGGTGCACCGCATGAACGACCTGGGGATGGCGGTAGACCTGTCCCACGCCTCGACGCCCACTGCTATGGATGCCATCGAGTTCTCCCGGGCTCCAACGGTTTTCAGTCACAACGCGGCCTACACCCTGCGACCCAACGGGCGCACCCGCAAAGACGAAGAACTGATGGCCTGTGCTGCCAAAGGCGGCCTCATCTGCATCACCGCCGTCCCCAATTCGTTGAGCGATGACCCTGAGCAGGACATCGAATGCGTTCTGGATCATTACGATTATATGGTGCGGTTGGTGGGTATCGACCACGTCGGTATCGGCACCGACACTACCATCGGAGACCATGTTGCATTCCACCGGGTGATGATGGGAAGAGATGGACCAGATCAGTTGCCGGCTCCCTACCTGAACGGCCTGGAATCGCCAGCCGATGGCAAAAATATTGTGCGGGGCCTGATCCGCCGAGGATACACTGATGAACAGGTACAGAAGATAATCGGGCGCAACGCCGTGGACTTCTTCCGTCGGGTGATTCCGTAGCCACGGCTGGCTTTGCTACACGCTCCCGATGGAGGAACCGTCCGGGGCAGAGCCGTCGGGGGCGAACGCATCTGCGCCTTGCCCGTCTTCGCCGGATGTGAGTTCCGCCTGCACCACTTGCCAGATGTCGGTGCTAGCCGGCCCGCCCCAGCCATCGTAGTGCACGAGGTCAGTGAGGGGCAGGCGGTCCCGCCAGCCCGTAGTTTGCAGCAACGGTTGCGCCGGGAAATCGACTGGATACCCGAGGCACAGGTAGGCTACCGGAACAATGTGCTGCGGGATGCCCAGAATCTGACGCAGTTGCGGGCGCTTCAGGATGCTGACCCAACCCACGCCCACGCCTTCAGCGCGAGCCGCCAACCACAAATTCTGTACGGCGCAGCACGTGGAATAAACGTCCGTTTCCGGCGTTGAGTTTCTGCCCAACACTTCCCCGGCCCGTGTCGGGTCGCAGGTGACGCAAACGTTCACCGACGACTCCATGATTCCTTCCAGCTTCAACGCCAGGTATTGCGAACGACGCGGTTCGTCGAAGAATTGAGAGGCAGCCCGACGCTCGCGTTCAAACAGGTCTTTTACCTGCAAGCGTATATCGGTATCGGACACGAGCACGAAGTCCCACGGCTGCATGAACCCGACCGACGGCCCGTGGTGTGCGGCGCGTATGATGCGTGCCAGAACGTCTGGCGGAATTTTTTCGTCCTGGAAGGTGCGAATGTCACGGCGCGAATAAATGGCGTGATAAACGCCTCGCCGCTCTTCGGGCGCAAAGTGGTTGAATGTCGTCATTGTGTTAGCCCAACTCCCGCATCTGCCGCACATTATCACACATCCAACCGAAACGGGCTGACCCTATGACTGTGGAGCGTTTTTGGGCCAACCGATCCCCGCGCTGCCACGCGCCAAAGAGGACATCTCGCCTCTCGTCGATTGCCGCTTGAAGGCTATTCTTCCCGCCACAAATAATTTCGCAATGCCGACTGGCGGGCCTGCCACGCCAGCCCGTAGCGAATCGGATTGGCCGTAGATTTCGCCTTGACGACGATTGTGTAGGGTTCGCCAATGGCCAAACCTCCGGGCACGTAGATGTGCTCGATGGTTGTTGTGTGCCGTCTCGTGGGGCGCTGCTTGGGGGCCGCCCATTGCCGGCATCGAGAAGCTCGACCTGCAAATCGGCGAGGCGGGATGAGAAAACGCCTTCAGCATCAACGTCGACGTCCCGGTTCCAGGCGAGTGCCAGGGAAAACTCGTCGTTGGTTTTGGTGACGGTCAAGGGATAGAAGGGATAGGAGGTTGTTTGTCCCTGTGCCAGCTCCTGGGAGTCCCAACCGGCGTCGCGGGATTCGACGCTGCCGATGGAACGGCCGGCGGAGAGTATATCGAAGGAGTTGCGGTAGTTGAATAGGCCGACGCCGTAGTTGGGGTCCAACGGGGCGGTTTCCGAGTTTGTCCATTGCCATTGCTCTGACCGGGAAGGCAGGGCGCGGCAATAACCTGCGGTTTCGATCATGGATTCTGCGCAGAGGTGATTTTTGCCGGCACCGGCCAGGATGATGGCTTTCATGGTTTGCATATGCGTGACGCCGGCGAGCAGCGGTTCTGAATATGCCAGGGCCAGGAAACCAGAGGCCGCCGCCGCCAGCGTGGGTGCAGACCAACTGCTGGCCTCGGACAGATTGCTAGCCGCCACGACGATATCCGGCTTGTTGCGCGGGCCGTTGAGGTTGTCAACGGAGGATTGGGCAGGATAGGAGTAGTTGTAACTCTTTTTGCCGACGACGATGGAGTTGTAGTAGTTGCCGCCCAGGGTCGGATTCTCGTGTCCGGCGTAGCTGCCCGGTTGGGTGGAGATCGCCAGAATGTTGAATTCTGAGAATATCCAGTCGCCCAGCCGCAAATTTTGTGCATGCACGGTGGCGAAATCTCCTTCCCGGTGCACGCTGGTGGGATGGGCGTGGGACATCGTCATAATTTGCGGCGCTCCCATCTCGCCGAATAACGCGCGCCGAAACTCGTTGATGTTGTCAGGCGCAGGAGGAAAGCCTGCTAGGCGTGCGGTTAACTCCGTACCGGTCATGGCATACTTTTGAGAATTGACCTGACATCCCCGGTAGTAGGACTGCCGCGACTGGGAGACCTCGCAGTCGTAGAGCATACTGGCTACAGCATCGGCATGGCTGGCGCTGTCTCCCGCCGGCCCCAGCCGGGTTACGTCCCGGCTGGCCGGGTAGTTGCTTTCCGTTTGCAATATTCTGACCCGGTCGGACCCGACGAGCACTCTTTCGCCCAGGTTTCGGTACAGGTCGATCGCGGCCGATCCGGCCACATAGGCTTCGAAACTCTCGTCCCACTCGGCGTACCGTGGGTCGGGGTGGCGTGTGCCCCAGAAAATATCAGGTGCGTGTTGTGTGATGGCCGGGTACCGGTTCACATCAAAGGTGTACGGTGCGTAAACGAACCAGGCTTGACTGCTGACAGTTCCAATCACCGCTCCGCCGTCGGCCAACGCACGAACGGACAGGTAATAGTCCTGATTGGCCGCCAGAGAAATTTGAACCCCGTCTAAGGCATCTTGAATACGGTAATTGGTGGCCGGCCCGACGTCTTTCCATCCGACTACGTCATCGTTGCCCATAGAAGTGCCCAGCGCTACTTCGTAACGGGAAACCCAGGCCGCGTCCGCACTCCGCCAGGCGGCAATGGGGCTACTCCTCTGGGTTTGGTCTTCGGACAAACCCAGTGATAGCACAACAGAAGTTGTGGCAGGAATCGGTGTAGCCTCCGCCGTGGGCGCTGGCGATGGCGCAGGCACTGCCGTGGGAGCCGGCGCCGGAGCTGGGTTCGTCGCCTGTGCGACCACGGGCGGCAGCTCCTCGGTGGGAACGACCGAGGGTGTGGCGATGGAGGCAGGAGTCGGATCCTCTGGGTCTGCCATCGCAGTCGGGGACGTGTCCAAGGGTTGAACGTCGTTGTTGTCGCGTTCCGACTCGGGCCCGCTACCGACCGGGGGTAACGACTCCGTGCCGGGAGTGAATCCGGATTCGATTGTCCCGTTACAGGCTGCGAAAACTAAACACAGCCCAACCAGGACAACCAATGCCAAGCACCAACGCAACATCCTGGTGTCTGTTGGCAACCAGTCGGTTGGGTTTCCCAATTGGACCATTGTAGTTGCTTCTCAACCTCAATTCCTTCGTTTGGCCGAGTATGTATATCACAATACGACTGGCGTTGGTTGCCGGACTTGCCATCGGTTGCGGCGTCTTCGGTGGCGCTTCCAACGTGGTATCATCGGCCCACTACTTCAACCATGACCTTCAGGAGGCCCAGATATGGCTACCAAACCTACACTCTCAACCGAACAGGTAACGGCGGCAATGGACGCAATGCTGGCCAGCGCTAAAGCGGACGCCCCCAACGAACCGGTGGCCATGGCAATTGTGGACGCCGGCGGTGAACTGGTCGCGTATTTGACCATGGACAACCTGCGGATTTTCAGCCGCCGCCACGCGGTCCGCAAGGCCTACACCGCCGCTGTGATGGGCCAGGATTCCGGAGCTCATGCGGCGCGCCTGGCCGAACAGGGCCGTGGCATCGCCGACCTGGGCGACCCCCGGTTCACCCACGGTCAGGGTGGTTTGGTCATCATGCAGGACGGCGTGATTCTGGGCGGCATCGGCGTCGGCGGCTACCCCAGCGGCCAGCGCGATGAGGACCTGTCCCGCGTGGGTCTGAACGCCATGAATGCGTAACCTGCCATCCGTCGGACGTAAGGTTGTCAGCGGGTGGCCGTTTGGCTACCAGGAGGTGTTCAAAATGCCCGAATGGAACTTCACCCACCGCACCGCACGCGTCAACGGCGTCAACATCCACTACGTCATCGAGGGAGACGGTTTCCCGGTGGTGTTGTTGCATGGTTGGCCGGAGATGTGGTTTTCCTGGCGCAAGCAAATTCCGGTTCTGTCTCAGAACTATCAGGTTATCGTGCCCGATATGCGAGGGTTCGGCTCCTCGGAAAAACCGCTGCAGGATTACCGTACACGCACTGCCGCCACCGACATCTACGAGCTGGTGCGCCACCTGGGGCACGACAAAATTGCCATTGTCGGCCATGACATCGGCGTGCGGGTGTCGTACCGTTACTGTCTGGACCACGAAGCGGAGGTTGACCGCTGGGCGTTGCTGGACGGCACGCACCCTCTGGAGCAGCTGGCGGACCAGACCCCGCAGGGTGTCCGCGAGCGTTGGCACTCGTATTTCCACCAGATTCCAGACCTCGCCGAACACCTGGTGCGCGGAAACGAGGATGCGTATCTGCGTCACTTCTACCGGAACTGGTCGGTTAACCAAGCCATGATGTCAGATGAGGAGGTGGCCGTGTACGTTACGGCCTACTCCCAGCCGGGGGCGCTGCGGGGCGGTTTTTCGTACTACCGCGCGGCAGCCTACGAAGACCCACCCGACTGGAGAACCGATGCCGACCGTCAGCTCGACATTCCTGTGCTTTACCTGTGGGGCGAGCGGCGCAAGCGCACGGCGGAAGCCGGAGGCACCGATCCGGAGGCGTCCTGGCAGAAGGCGGCCAATAACCTGCGCAGCCAGTTCATCCCCGGTGGCGGCCATTTCCTCCACGAAGAGAAACCGGACGAAGTGAACGGCGCTCTGCTGGCATTTTTGGGGGAGATAGGCGGATAGGTCGCAGAAACAGCATACTACGTCCAGGAAAAGGAGCCCCGTCATCGACGGGGCCCTGAAGGTCTCCGGAGATGCTTGCGGAGCGGATTTAGCCGCGCAGGGCTGGCGCTACCTCTTCCGCGTACAGACGGATGGAGTTTTGCACGCGCTCGGCCGGCACGTTGCCGCCGAGGTTGGGCTCCATGATGAAACCGGTGAGCCCCAGCTCATCGCGAATCTCAATCAGCCGGTCGGCCACCATCTGCGGGCTGCCGTAGGCTACCCGATCCACCAACAGGTCATCGTAGGTGGTGTTCAGCAGTTGCTCCGCGCGCTGGAGCCGTTCCGCCGAAGCGCTGGCGCCTTCTGCTTCCACGGTCTTGATGTAAGTGTCGGCGGTCCGGCGGAATGCGCGCATGGTGCTCTCCTCGGTGTCCGCACGGGCCTGCTCCATGGATTCCGACACGTAGATGGGCATCCGGACATAAACGTCATCCACATCGTGGCCATTTTTGGCCGTGGCCGCCCGGTACAGTTCCAGATTCTTGGCCACCTGCGAAATGCCCTGGCCACGTACGCCGGTGACCAACGGGAATCCCAACTCGCCGACGATGCTGAAGGTATCAATTGAGTTTGCGGCGATGCGAATTGGCGGGTGCGGCTGCTGGTAGGGGCGGGGGGTTACAACCACATCGTCCATGTCGTAATAATGGCCGTGGTGGGAGAACCGATAGTTGCTCCACGCCTTCAATATGATGTCCAGAGCCTCTGTAAAACGTTGACGGCTTTCTTCGAAGGGTATCCCGTAGCCCTGGTAGGAGCGCGGGAAGCTGCTCCGCCCGATACCAAAATCCAGACGACCCTGGGAGATGTTATCCACGGTGGCCGCTTCCTCGGCAAGCCGGATCGGGTGAGCCAGCGGCAGCACACTCACGCCGGTGCCGACGCGAACGCGCTCGGTGCGGGCGGCGATTATGCCGGCCATCAGCAACGGCACCGACGAAACGGACGGGATGCCGGCTCCGCCGGGATCGGTCGGTGTACGCGGGGCGGCGAAGTGCCGTTCAGCCAACCAAACTCCGTCAATGCCTGTTTCGTCAGCCAGCTTGGCGACCGTAAAGGCTTCGGCGAACGCCTCGTCTTGCGTGCGACCCTCGCGGTAATCGCATTCCATCACCAGACCGACGTGCATGATATTCCTCCTGTTGGTGTTGCTTGTGCTGGTCGCGCTGATTGCTAGCGCGACCAGCTATTACCGCGGGACATTAATTATCGATGTAGGTATTTGGCGCCGCCAGGAATTTGGTACGACAATCCAGACTACAGAAATAATACCACTCGCCATTATGAAAGCTGCGCGTACCTGCGGTCGGGTCAACTTCGTTCGCGCCGTGCATGGTCTGTCCGGTGGTCGCGCGGGCGGTGTTCTCGTTGATTTCAGTCTTGCAAACGGGATCGACGGGCATTGTCTGACTCCTTGTTAGGTCAGGCTGTTAAATTCGCAGATTCAGGCTACGGGTTCCAGGTTCATCCCCAGGCGCACTTTGCCAGGTTGATCCAGCAGGGCGCGGGCGACGCGACTGCGGTGCTCGAAACTGGTGCCCAGCCGCATCGTCCAGGCGGTAACCCGGCGATACCACAGATGCAGGTCGAATTCCATCATGAACCCGATGCCCCCATGTATTTGCTGCGACGATCGTACTGTCGCCTGGCATTTGTCGTTGGTGAACGCTTTGGCTTGCGAAACTTCCACCGAGTAAGGGAGCCCTTGGTCTATCTTCCACAGGGCTTCATACGTGAGTAGCTGAGCACCATCAACCCACACGAGCATATCGGCGCACAAGTGCTGTATGGACTGGAAGCCAGCGAGAGGCCGACCGAATGCCACCCGGTTCTTGGCGTACTCGATGGCCATTTCAGCGTCCTTGCGAGCGGCCCCCACAATCTGGGTGCAAAGCAGGGCGGTGCCAATGTCCAGCATGGCTTGCGTGGCCGGCCAACCCTGGTTCACTTCGCCGATTACGTTGCTCAAGGGGACCCGCACCCCATCCAGGTTTAGCTTGCTCTGCGAGTCTTTGGCCAATGTGGTCAGGCGAGTTTCAGAGACGCCGGCAGTATCGGTGGGGACGATGGCCAGCGTGATGCCGGCATTATCGTCACTGGGCGCACCGGTGCGCACCGCCATGACCATCAGCTCGGCGGCGGAGAAGTTGTCCACGAAGTGTTTGCCGCCGGTGATCACGAGGCTGTCCCCGTCTACTTCCCCGCGGCACTGGAGTACGTCGGCGCGGAGTCGCGGATCCTGTTCCTGAACCGCCCAGGTCATTATCAGTTCACCGCGGGCGACTCGAGGGAGAATGGCCTCTTTCTGTTGTTCGGTACCGAATTTGGCGACCGCCATCGCAGCGGTGGCGGTGCTGTGGAAAGGCACCGGGGCGATGGCACGACCGCACTCTTCGATAATCAGGCCAAGATACGAAACGGGCAGGCCGCCGCCGCCGTATGTTTCGGGCAGCGAAATGCCGAACCAGCCCAGAGATGCCATTTTCTCCCACAACTCCAGGGAATAGCCGCGCTCGTCCTGTTCAACTTCGCGGGCGAGGCTGGCGGGACACTCGGCTTCCAGGAATTCCCGGGCGGCGTTTTTGACCATCAATTCTTCTTCGGAGGGAAGTACGTTCATTGTGCCTCAAAATGGTTGACGTGCCGCGAGGTAGCGCACCGACGGTTGTCGGAACCGCGCGACGAGCCCTGATTTTTCAAGTATGGTCGCCGGACCTGCCGAACGCCACCGGAAAGGCGGCTCTGGTTGCATTCCTGCGCCGACAATTTGCTGTTTTAGGATTCGGCGAGCGGCCACTAAACCCGAGGCATCCCAAGTCCCCGGCGGGCCACCTGGTCGCGCATGACCTGGACACTGCCGTGGTTGATGCCGCTCTGGAATGCGCCCATCAGGTTGTGGGCAAAAATCCCATCCTCGATGGCGTCGTCGGAACCGTTGAGCAACTGTCCGTAGGGGCCCAATATCTGGGCGATGGTTTCCGTGGTGCGCACGCCATGCTCAGGTGCAAATACCTTTTCTGCGGAACCTTCGTAGGTGAAATTCCCCTCCGACTCAACGATGGACATGCTGCGCAGCGTCATCAACCGGCACACCTGTCCTTCGATCCACATATCAGCCAGCCGGTCGCGGACGGTGGGGTCCCGGCTGATGCCGTAGCCTTCAACGTCGTTTTCCTTCACCCAGTTCACGATGTCCTCGTCGCGCTGGATGGAAATAAGGTAGCGGGATGCACCCACGCGATCCAGGTTCAATCCCATCGCACCGACGTACCAGCCCTGGTTTTCTTCGCCGAGGAGACAGGACGCCGGCACCCGCACGTTTTCGAAGAACGTTTCGTTGGTGCGAGCGTCGCCATACGTGGTACCGAGTGGAGCCGGCGGGTGTTTTGGATGGTCCACAGAGGCCGCACCGTGATGCCAGGCGTGTCCATCGGGATGAGGAAGATGCTGATTCCGCGGTGGCGCGGCGCGTCCGGGTCGGTGCGCGCCATCAGGTAGATGTGCGTGGCGTAGTGCGCGGCGGTGGTGTACATCTTCTGGCCGTTGATGACGTAGTCGTCGCCATCGCGAACGGCGCGGCATTGCAGGCCGGCCAGGTCGGCGCCGGCTTGCGGTTCGGTGAACCCAAGGGCGAACGAAATTTCGCCGCGGATTACGCCGGGGATGAATTCCCGCTTCTGCTCTTCGGTGCCAGCGGCCAGGATTGCCGGGGCGCCCGACCCTGCCCCACCGACCGTGATGCCGATGCGGGCAAATTCCTCTTCCACGATGTACTGGTCGATGCGGCTGCCGTCCTGACCACCGTACTCGGTGGGCCAGGATATGCCGATCCAGCCTCGTTCCGCAATTTTCCGATACATCTCGCGGGTCTTGGGCCCACGGCGGCGGATGCCGGTATCTTCCAGCTCGGAGATGATTTCGTCGGTCACGTTCTCAGCAATGAATTGCTGCACATCGGAGCGCAAGGCTTCCTGTTCGGCGGTAAATGCAAATTCCATGGCGGCGTTGCCTCACGGTTTGAGTGTGCTTCGTTTCGGTGGCATCCAATTATAGCGGGTAGCCGAGCCGGTGTCATTTCGATGCGGCAAGCGTCAGGGCAATCGCGTCTTATCCGAGGAGTACTTTTAGTAGGTAGTCTTCACGCCAACCGGCGTTGAGCCGTTTGCCCTGGATGCCCACTTTGAGGCTGTTTTCGTTTTTCAGTAGATTGTGGGAGATCTGACGCAGGGTGGCCAGATTCTGCGGCCCGTGGTCTTTGCGCACTCGGCACTGATCTTCTCGAAAGGTTACATCCAAAGTCCAGTGCAGTGAGTTCTCGATGCTCCAATGGCTCCCTGACGGCAGCCAGCAGTTGTCCTGCTGGGGCTGGCAGGCTGCTGATGTAGTAGCGAGGTTGACTGATCGCGCCGGCTGCGGTCTCACGATGGCCGACCACTTTGATGGCGGCCTTCAGTTGGGGCCATTGCCCGTGAGGGTTGATGTAGTCCAGGCAGTCCGTCGCGGTGATGGTCCAGCATTCCCGCCGTTCCACCCGTCCGTGTCCCTTGTTCACGGTCTGGGAGTAGTCGTAGGGCACCCCGTCAAAGCCCAACGCCTCCGCCCCCTCGAACAGGTCTCGGATGCCCTCGTGGAGTTGACCCTGGTTCTCCTTCACCGCCAGGACGTAATTGGCCCCGCCGTCTGTGATCTGCTGGGCAATCTCCCGCTGGCAGCCCATGGCGTCAATGGTCACGATGCAGCCGTGCAGATCCAGCAAGTCCAGCAGTTGGGGAATGGCGGTGATCTCATTGGACTTCTCCGCCGTCCTGACCTGCCCCAACGTCAGGGTGTTCTGCGTGGCCCAGGCGCTGACCAGATGCATGGCTCCCTTGCTCCCCGCCCGGTCGTAGGACCGTCGGGCCGTCTTGCCGTCAATGGCGACCACCTCACCGGGCAGCAGTTCGGCGATGGCCTGGGTCCAAGACACGAAGCAGTTCTGGAATTGGGCTGGGTCCAGACGCGCAAAGACATCGCCGAAGGTGTCATGGGAGGGGACGCCGTTGGGCAATTCCAGGAAGGTTTGAAACCATTCCAGCTTGCTCCTGCCGAAGAGTTCCACATGGACCCAGGAATCGGCTCCGCAGATGGCGGCGCAGATGGCGATGGCTAGAATATCCACCAGCTGGTGGCGTCGGGTCCGTTCCACCCGTGGGTCGTCCAAGTCGTCGAAATGGTCCAAGATCGATACGTGATGTGATTCTGCCATGGCCCGTCGCCCTCTCTAGTTTTATCGAATCAGCCAACATTAGCATAATTCAAAAAATTACCATTAAGACGCG